TTTTTATTCACTTGATTACCAGTTTAAATTGTGTACTCGTGCCATGGATTTCACAGATTGTTTCTTTTTTAGAGGGAGAGTATATTTTCAAATACATTCTTCACTAAAAAACAATGGTTATTCAAAAATATTCAGATTGCAATGGCTCATCAAAACTGAGAATTTATTTATTAACCTTGAAGTGTATTAGACAGAATCTAGCCTCATGTGATGTTTCTTAAAATAATTACCATTGATTAATCTAACATTTTCAGCACACCCAAAACATCTACTGGAACCCATCTTTCATTTTTAAAACTGCCACTGCCTTCTTCAAAATAATAATCGATGAATAGAAGCAGTTGCTTCAGAGCTTTGATTTTTTTAATAAGAAATAGTCGTGTGGAGCTAGATCCAGCCTATATGAAGGGCACAGCACCTATTTAATCATTTTTTGGGGAAAGGGGAGGAAGACCAGTTGAACACGAGGATATGCATTAATCTGATATAAGGGTATGCAGCAAAACAGCTGCATTTCTCAGTTATACTATAATGCAAATTCCTAAAAATAAAACAGTAAAATACACAGCCATTACATTCAAGTATACATAGACATTACATTTATTACCACCATTTCCCTAGAGCAGTAAGCTCGCTCAGAGACAAAACCACGGTACATGTAGTGCTGATGCTGGAGCGTATGAAGCATCTATGCATTGTTTTTTCACATGTAGAATGTTCTTTATCATAATGGGAAAAGCAGAAGATTTATCAGATTTCGATAAAGGTCAAATCATTATGGCTCGGTGCTGGGAGCATCGATTTCAAAAATAGCGCATTTAGTGGGCTGCTCACATGCAGCCGTTGTTAAGGAAAGGGATAAATGGATGATGAAACTACAAGTAGCTGACCAGCAGTTTGTCAATGAGGGTGCATTGATTTCAGAGGAGAGTAGAGACTGTCACACATTTTCGCCATGACTCAAGTGCTACAATGACTGAAATCACCGACAGCTACAACAGTGGATCGAGACGGTGTGTCTCAACACACAGTGCAACATACTGCTGCATATGGGTCTACACATCAGGCATCCAAATTGCATCCTTTTGCTGACGGAATGTCATTGGCAACAGCCAATGACCATAGAAGAATAGAAGAATGGAAGAGCAATTTTATAAAAGTAAATTTGAACTTTCGATTATGTCAAATAGAATTTCCGATGCTGGAACTTCCAAAGGATCTACAAAACGAAAGTATGTTTCGATGTCCAACAAACAAAAAGTGGAATTGCTGCAAAAAATGGATAAAGACATGAAGAATGTGGACAGAGAGGTTAGTGAAAACGAAAAAAATTTCGATTGACAAGTTAGTCGGTATTCTCGGCACAGCAATTAACGGGACTTGAACAGCGGAACTTTGTAACTGAGCAAGAAATTATGTCTGTTTATAGAATTAAAGAGAAAGTATTATCACATAAAACGAAGCAACTTAAACAACTTACATTGAAAGAAATGTTTAATAAAGTAAACAAATAAATATTAAGCTTTTTTTTTTTTTGTAAATTTTGATACCCTTTAGGTCATAATTGTTCTTTATTTCATAAATTACGGTTTCATTTTTTTAATTTTAGAATTTCTGCATGCCATCTTACGAGATTTAAACTGATGATCTATAATCCGGAATCGCCGAAGTCCCGACGAGTCCGGATTAACGACTTTTGACTGTATTTTACTTTCTTCATGAATTGGTCTTAATTTTTTTTTTTTTTTTAAATCAGGATTCTGAATGACAGCAGATTCTCTAACTCTGTATTTCTGTCTGGTACATATTGCATTTTCTCTGAATATAACCAACTAAATTGGTCGCTAAATTGTTCTGCTTTGAGATTGCATGTTTCAGAATGAATCTGCGTACTTAAATTTATACATTTGTTTTTTCATTTAGCTATATAATATAATTATTATACTTTCTAAAACTAGGCTTTCTGTTATAATAAAAAATAATCGAAGTAATTATGATATGGTTTATAATGAATGTCATATGTAAACATATTTTCAAAAATATACCTGCATTTTTTATAAAACCAAAAAGTACTGCTATTTTCACAATGAAGTGAGTTTCTTGAAAGTATGACTTCTTTTCCAACTAAGTTTTTGCAGAAAGTTTATATTTTACTTTATTATTTAAATCGACAAAGAGTGTGAAAGCTTATAAACAACTAGTGGGTGGAAAAAAATCAGAAGATCCATCATAAGAAAGAGCAGCTGTTGTTGAAATGACACTTAAAAATCCATGTCTGACCGATATGGGAGAGAAGAAATAACTGGAAAACCCTTTATAGCAGCATACAAAGCACACTTTCTATTGACTAAGCAACTGTAAATAATTTAGCCACATTTGCTAATCATCAAAGCAGTTAAGTTTCATGAAGCACTTTAAGGAGAAAACTCCTAAGGGAGAGGAAGAGGGTTTGATGGCTTTGAAGCTAGATTCATTAAGAAGAGGGAAAAACTTCGGCTATAAGTTTGAGATTCTGAAGACAGAATATTCAAGAGCTTCCATGATTGGAAAAGTTAAACTTCAGAAATAGATGCATAATGTTTCCTTTCAGACCTTGTCTTAGTTATCTTTTGTTACAGTGTAATAAATTATTGTAGCTGTCCTTTTTTGTATTTTAAATATATTGAAACTAATTATTTTTTATAATGAGAACTAAAATAGTAGCTATTAAAAATAATTGTATATGTTTTTGTATTTTTATTATGCAGTAATTATATTTACTTCAAAAGAAGACTCCCATTGAATATAATAATGATATGGCAGCCAGCTAATCATTGTCGTGACCAGAATATAAATCAAACTTTAGTGGGAAGCTCTTGTATATTTTCAGGATGAAAAATGAGTTTTTAAACTGTGTAAATGGATCATACACAGTTTGTATAAATAATTAAAAAAAGAAAAGAAAGTAATAACAGAAGTCAGTTTAGAGTTTTATGCATAGAATTCAAGTAACCCCTGAAGACCCTCTCCAAGACTTATAAGATTGGTAAAGTTCAAGTTAAAGATTTTTGGGCCCTCTTCCAGAGCCACATATGTATGCAGTGTATGGCCACATAATTTAAGTGGTTGGAATAAATGCGGAGTCCCAAGAATAAAATGTTATTATTGTGGTTAAAATGAAATATTTAATATTGATATAATTAGCTAATTATGGTAATTAGGAAAAGTCATGCACTTTATTGTGTACATATTATTATAGTTCTGAAAAGCATTTACACATAATGCTATTGACAAAAAAGAATATTTTTCCTGTACCTGTAATCATCTAATGTTACAATACAGTGACATAAAAAATGGAATTTGTAAATGTTTAGTGTCTTTGCAGCATAAAACTACTTAAATTCCATTAAGCTTGAAGTTTCTTTGAAAGGTTGATAGTAGAGGAATATGGATATCAGCACCTTGGATTCCATCCACCAGGGTATTATTGCTCAAATTGGGGTGAACTAAGCAGAAATGATATTATTACCCATAAGATGTCCAAAGCATTGATTAATGAAGGGCACTCCGTTCTTTCTCTTGACCATAATGAATTCATGAACCTGATTTGATTCAGATCAGGAGGACAAGCAGCCACAAAATAAATCTAATTTGACCTTAAACATTCATTTCATTTGAGGGGAAGAAAATTTCATTCTTTCTTTTTGTCACCAAAGTTCATTCTCAAGAAATTCTTTTCTTGTAGCTTTTTTAAACCTAATTATTCATTCCTAGTAGTTTAACGGCTTTGCTCAGAAATTTTGATGGCTATGTTTTTGTACTTATCCATTGAATGACATATTTAAATTTTATTCTCTGTACGTTGTAAGCAGATAATTATTGTTAAGGGATATTTACTAGAGAACAGAACTTCTATTTTGATTCTGTCATAGAAAAGCAGCAAAATTATAGTATATTTTTATATTACTTTAATGTTCATTTCATTGTGCTAATCTACATCATGTTTTGCATATGTTGTTTATATATATATGTTGTACATATACATTATACCCCCCCCCATATGTTGGACTATATTTATTTTATATATACTGTGTTACTAATGCACATGATTATGCATTATTGTTTATATAGGCATTAGTATCATTTTAAAAGTTTTTCTGTAAATTGTATAATAATTCTGTTAATATATTATTCTAAAATATATTAGCATAATTTTGTGTCTCTATTTTACCCTTATTTTTGTTTTAATAAAGTGTCATATTTCATATGTATTTTTGTTCTTGAGCATATATTTTAGTTTCAAACACAATTCAGATGTGTGTTTAGCATTATATAATGTTAATGGTTTTTGTTATCTTAAAAATCCTACCATCTTGACTTCATATGTAATTATGCCCAACTTTGCCCTCCCCCCCCAAAAAAAAACATGCTGTATTTTAAAATGCTATGTGAAAATTTAATAATTAATTGTTATATATTTTTAATTCAAATGAGTTTTTAAGAATTTTCAATAACAATAATGCTAATTATTTTGAAATTTGATATTTGTCTTTGTTTTCAAAAACTTGAAATCTATAATAATCATATTTATCTTCAATTGTTTATCTGAGTTGGCTGAGATTTTTCATGTATTTGAAATCCAAATACATCAATATTTCTCAAGTGTTATAATCTTAAATTTAAAAAGGTATATTTGTTAATTAATTTCTACCAAGTAAAGTATAATATGATATATGTTTTAAAATATTTTATTTATCCTAGCTTGTAATAAAAATTTCTCTTTGTGTAAAAATTGATAAAGTAGTGAAAGATTTATTTATAGCAGTTTTAAATAAAAAATTGTTATATATGCTATACAATAGTGTATTAAAATTTATGTATTACAGTTTTTCTCATCTTAAAAACTCAAACAAATTAATGTTCAAAGCATATTCTGTGATTCTGTCATGTAAGACATATAAAAATATATAAAAGGGATATATTATGATGAGAATTAATATATATTTTTTTAATTTTTGCAGATGTGTATTTTATGAGTATGAATGAGAAAAACAGGCATGTGTCTGTTCCACAACCCTTGCCTGCCAATTATGGTCCTCCAGTTCCTCCAGTTGGACCAGGACCAGGCCAGGGACCATGTGTGGGACAGCAGCAATGGATGCCAAGTCCTATCCATCCTGCATCTTATCACATGCCTCATCAGGGTTTTTCAACAAACTATAAAAATAGTAACGTTCCAGTCCGTGCCACTGGATATCCTACACCCATGCATCATGGTGGGTACATCCAACGTTACCCTCCATATGATGCTCAGTGCCAAAGCTTTCCATTTGCAAAAATTCATGAAGGTCTACCGCGTCCACCAAACCCATCCTCTGCATATCCTATTGTAAGGCATTATAATACATTCAATGAAACACCAAAAGATACTCCTGTATCAAAAAGTGCTCTGGACATGTTTCCTCAAAACAAAAATTCACAACCAACTCAGAATGTAATGCAGAAAGAGAAAAATTCTCAAGGGCTTGAAAAAAATGGAAGAGATGACTTGTTGTCATCACCATCAGATGGGAAAAGTGACTCTGAGACAAACAACACTACAACTGAGTCTTGTCCAGATGACACCAGATCTCCAAATAGTTGTGATAAACAAGAAAATTTCTGCGTGGAAAAGAATGAAAGTTCTATGAAAAGTGATTCCAACTCTCATATTGACATAGAACCTCACTCTAAGAAAAGTAAGACTGTTAATAGTGACACTAACTCTGAGCAGGATAGCCAATCATTTTCTTCCATTTCTAATAGCAATAATCAAGCCAAAAAAGAGAACTCTGCCATTCATCCTCCTTATGAAATGAGAATACCAAATCCATCATACCAACACTCTGACAATATGTATGGAATGTATCCTGATGGAGAAAGGAGAATGCACAGCTTACAGCACAATCCAAATATGGCTATGAATCCACACCACATGAATGAAACCATGCATTATGGATATCGTGGCCCTGTGCGCAATACTCTTAGTGACGTTGACAAGTTAAGTGAATTAGATTTTGCAGAAAAGAACAATACTTCTGAAAATGTCTTCCAAGTTCCTTCTATATCTTCCACGACTCCACCAAAGATCTTCCCACCAATCCCACCGTCTCCCATATCTGAGTCGTGGGAAGATACAAAATATTATGCACCTCAAGAAGACATGGATTCGGAAAAAGTGCCACGCAAAAAACGCAAGCGATGTGGTGAATGCCCAGGTTGTTTGCAAAAGCAGAACTGTGGAAGGTGTGGACCTTGTAGAAGCGTGCGTAGTCATCAGATATGTAAAATGAGGAAATGCGAATCGTTAAAGACCAAAAAAGAAAAGGTGAGTTTTTTTAATAATTTTAATATATTGCAGAAAACCTTATTCTGGAAAGGGGAGACATACATAAGTGTATGTAAATTTAATCTAAAAAGTGAATAATTGAAGAATCATTTTAAAAATTTCTATGTAAAAAACACTTAAGACGTTTTAAAAAAATGAGTACTTTTTAGGAAAATCCAGAAGTCATTTGAAATTTTCTGTCCTTTGCTGTAAAGGACAGACATTTCTCTTTTTCTGTTTCCCCTGTATTTCTCTGTCTCATTTATCAGTGACAAACTTTCCCTTAAGACAAAACTATCCTAATTGAGAATACAGTCAAATACTGAGAATCCGCCGACCTAAAATCCGCCAACTCCTGAAATCCGCGTTGCCTCTTAAAATATAAACATTTAGGTTATAGGTTCCTGAAACCGCTACATGGAGTACAAAATATCGAAGAAAAAGTACTTCCTGGATAATGACATCATAATTACCAAATAATAATGAGTCATAATGGAAATACTAAATTATTGACATCATGATAGGAGTTTTTTCCCCCTCCAATCTGCATCGAGGTAAAAAAGCAGACGATTCACTCAACTCTTCTTTTAAGTTCATGCTTCATGTTGTTGTACTTTCTGAGCTTTGTTATTTCACAAGATTGTTTAGTGATGTTTTTTTTTTTTTTTTTTTTTCCTTTTTCTTTTTTATTTCAGATATTTTGTGGATAAATTAAGAATATTTTAAATTTCAGCGCTTTTTAATACAATGACAGATAAGAAATGCCCTCGTGATTTTGCGTCAAGAATAATTTGCTTGGTGGAATTCTAAATTCATAGTAACCTATTTACTTTAATTTTTTTCATTGATGCAGAAGAAGAAAAACGTTCCATGGTTCCTTCTTTGAAAAATTTTTAACAAATTGCATAAACCACTTTTTCATTATTATCGCTAATATTAAATACAAAAAATTTCAAAACACATTAAAATGTAAATTCACATATATCTTAGAAAATTTTGAATAAAAAACTCTAATTTTTGCAGATACATCTACTTAGAAATACATCTACTTTGAGATGATGTTAAAAATTTTATAGGTTAAATAAACAAAAAAATTTCGAAAAATTTATAAAAAATATTTTAAAATACAAATTTTTAAAATAAATAATAAAAAATGTGCGAATTATATTTAAATTAAGCCTAAATTTTGAATTCAGGAAGAAGGAATCAACAGAAAATTCCGATTTTGTGTCAGAATTCCTATATTATAACAATGCTATACTGTACAAAGTCCATAATCCAGACTCGTCAGGACTTCGGGAATTCCGGATTAGGGGTTTTTCAGGATTATAGATCATCAATTTAAATCTGGTAAGATGGCATGCAGAAATTATACAATTTAAAATATGAAACCGTAATTTATGAAATAAAGAGCAATTATTATCTAAAGGGTATCAACATTTACAAAAAAAAAAAAAAAAAAAGCTTAATATTTATTTGTTTATTTTATTAAACATTTCTTTCAATGTAAGTTGTTTAAGTTGCTTCGTTTTTTGTGCTAATACTTTCTCTAATTCTCTCTTCTATAAACAGACAAAATTTCTTGTTCGGTTACAAAGTTCCACTGTTCAAATCCTGTAATTGCTGTGTCGAGAATACTGACTAACTTGTCAATCGAAATTTTTTCGTTTTCAATAATAACCTTTCTGTCACTTTCTTTAGTATCGGAGGCCACGTATGTGTAAACGCTTTACTGGCTTTACGCGCATCAAATGCGCATGCGTAAACGCTTTATGCGCATGCATAAGTTTAGGGCTTTGAGGTCTGAATTATAGATCATTCCGGATAATGGGCGTCCGGATTACGGACTTTGTACTGTGTGTAAATCTAATACATATCCTAAGTTGCACTTTTGAGACATGAAAAAATGCAAGTTGAATTTCGTCAGTCGGCCTCATAGAACATGAGGTATAGAACTGTCTCTCTCTCTCTCTCTCTTTTTTTTTTTTTTTTTTTTTCACAGTCTACAAATTGGATTCATATTATTACTTGGTATTTTTCGTTTATAAATAATGTATTCGGTTTAGAGACGTCTATCTAATTTTCCTTTTAAAATCTTTTTGCATTTGAAATAAAATTTAAATATCATCAACTAGAATGGCATGTGTATTGCACATATTTGCTCTCCAGCCACATGCACCTTCTTTTTTTGCAGCAGGTGTTAGTATTGAATATATACGTACATGAATTTTATTGAAAATTTCTGTATCAGCACAGATACAAATTCATAATCTGAAATGCATAAGTCACATTTAGTTTCGTGGTACAAAAAAAGGGTAATTACTCTGTATTATAAATAATAAATGTGAAGTACTTATCTTATATTTATAATTCTGTATAACCTGGGGGGGACTAATTCATTATCTACTAATGGCTAAAGGATTATTTGCCTTGTTAGATTATCTGTTAGTCATCAATAATTAATTAGATTGTGTTTTCAGCATTAATGGCCAACTGATTAAAAAATAACCCGTTGGCTATTGATTCTATTATCCAGGTTTAATTTAAATTGAAATATCTGACTTCCTGGAGTTTTTATCCTTTCTTCTCTGTGTAGTATAAATAAAAGTCTCAACTGTTAAATATTTTTTAAGAAGTCATTTCTTTTATCGGCAATAACTCTTACATAACTTTACATAATTAGTTATGTGTGCGCCTGTATGTATCATTTGATAAGTCTATGATGTTAATGAAAAAAATCTGATGTGGATCCTACATGACTTTCTTGTAGGGTGTATTTAATTTTGCACATTTTTTTTGTTACATTTCATTTAAAATTATTTCCTCAAATTGTTCTAATTTAATTGATTCCTCAATACCAGTTGCAGATTTTGATAAAAAATTGCAGAATTTAAAAATTAAATATCCCAGTTAATTTCTGTCATACTGGAGTCAAACTTCTTGTATTTTCAGTTTTGCATAACGAGTATAAAACTTTCCCAAATAAAAGTATAGGAACCGAAAGACCGCATTAAAAATTAGATTTCTTCATTAGTCCAAAATTAATTTTTTTTTTAAAATTTCATATTGCCAGACATGAATATTTTTGTCATTTAAAAGACTTCTGTAACTGGGAGTGTACAACTACGGCCAACGATTGCAAAAATAAAGGCTGGGTATGGACTGTAAGAGGTGTAGTAAGAGTAGTAAGAGGTATAGTAAGAGGTGGGTGTATATATATACATATATACACACACAGCCTTACTCATGATGAAACACAAATTGAATAACATGGATGATGAAACATGAAATTGAATAACTGAAGAGATAAGTTTGGAGGCAAATTACCTTTTGATAAGTCTGTCTTCTGCCTGCTTAACAATTATTCACTTATGCATTTTAAAAATTTTTTAGGATTAAAAATTTTTTTTTGAAATTATATATTTGTTCATGGATTTTGATACTTGCACTTGATTTACATCAACTCTCAGAATTTAAATGGTATTGTAGATTAATTCACAGCAATAATTAATTATTTATTTGTTTGCAGTTAAATTCTATTAACTTTTAATTTGCTTTTTACGAATAGAGAATGTTTGTTAAATTCAAATTTATATATATATTTGGCACTGCCAAATGAAATAAAAATGGGAGGGGCAGAATAGATGTTATAGCAGTCCTGTATACAAAATTTCAAAGTTTCATGGCTAATATTTTTTATATACACGTATCTTGCATATCACTAAAATGATTAGCCAAATAAAATTCTTTTAAATTTATCTTATTTTTAGAGTAGTAGAAATTTTTAAATTATTAAAAGTATACTATTATGGAAAAAAGGTTGCAAATCACTGCTTTAAAGCAAAATATTTTTATGCTGAGAGAAATAGCTAATTTTGTACTGTCAAAAATGGCATGCCAGATAGAATTATTCAATAGTAAATAATTTTGCAGTAAAAAAAGCCGTAATAAATTCAAACTTTATAATGCTGGTTTTGAAGATTTTATCTCTGCTTGCTGAAATATGCATATAAAATATCTCTCTGTGCCCTTTCTGCAAAATTTGCATAATTTCAAAGATAGAGTGTTCAGAGATATTTTTTACAAAATTTATCCAATAGAATACAATAAAAAATAACAAAATATTATATCAGATCATTTTAACCCTCTGAGCGTTACAGGTTTAGCCCTGAAATTTCAAAGTTACTCAAAATGTCATGAATAAGTGATATTTTCTTGATATTAATTAAAAAATGACTCTTAATTTTGTACCTTGATTCCTTTTCTTCCAATATACATCCAAACTGAAATCAGATACATTAAAAGCTAGCAGAAATTTCCATGTATAATGAATATGGAAGGCAACCTTCTGTACGGAATTGGCCTTAATGCTGAGAGGGTTAAGCAAGGTAGTTACAATAGTATAACTTCAAATTATTTGCAAATGTGAAATCAGGCGATGCATTATTCAAAATGCTTGTAGTATATAGCTGCGCAGGCAGTCTGAAAATATCATCAGCGAAACAATTTTTAGCTCCAGAGATGGTGTTAGTTTCAAAACTTATTTTTTATCCATACAGTAAACCTTTGCTAAATGCAGACTTGCAGATCACGCAGAGCAGGGTTTTTAGTTGTGACCCCTTTTTATCACAGATTTTTTCGTGACCTCGAGACCCCAATAAAAAAATTTTGTGGGAGCCCATAAGTATTGCGCAAATCCAACACACGCATGAGTGAAACTGTCAATTTTTTCACTTGTATTGTAATATACTATTGCAGTTTTAGGTCATTAACTTTAATTTCTAATTTTAAGACATAGAACAACGTGAAAATTTTAAATAAGTAACAGATGAAATGACAGCATCACGTGCAAAGCAAGGTAAATGAACATTTATGTTATAGAAATAATGCAACGAAACATTTTCGTTTTTTGTTTGTCTGTATTGTCTTATCTTTATCTATTTTCAGATACATTGTGTAAAAATATTTGGTAATTGTAAAAATATTATAATAAGTTAAAG